CGCTGTATACCCAATCTATTTCCTGCTATGCTCCACAGTTTCATCCTCGTCATCGGGGTAGTATACTGTCCCCTCTGGGATCACCAATCCCGCTCTGAAGTTTCCCAAACTATAACTCAGCAATATCGGATTCGATTTGGGAAATGCCCCTCGCTATATTCATAATGATCAATAAAAGCGTACGACTGACAACAGCTGCAGGAGTAGAAAGCATAAAGCCGGAACAGGGTGAGTGACAAATTATCAGATGAAGAGCTGCAGCCTTAGAATTTATCACTGGTGAGAACCACAGTCGTCACACTCCGTTGCTCAACATTCTTCATCGTAACAGTGGAGTAGCGTCCATCACCGAGGTCGACTTCAATCGGCAACTCAGCAATGGTCGCGTTACTTTCATGACGATCATCGCATATCACCTGAGCCAAACATACTGTTCTAATTCCATCATCACGAGTATTCACATTTCGCGTCTAATCTCACTTAAATCTAGCTCTGTCGTAATCTATCATGCTCAAAATATGGATTCGCTGAGACCTACCACAATGGCGATCTCAGTTCCCGCTGGGTTAATCGCTGCCATCGCTTCGATGCCCGCAGGGAACATCCCATCAGCTGCCTGTCCCGGATTGGGCACGCTGAGTGATGTCAAGACTGAATAACCCGCTTTGAAAAATTTGGTTATTTGCCCGAACGTATAATAAGGCGTGTTCAACTGACAAGCAAGACACTACCCGGCACGTTTCGCACCAGATGGCATCCGCACCGTTATTTTGCCTTCCTCACTAACTGAGACCAGGTTCCCAGGCTGAGTGGAACAACTTAAGATGAACTCCCCCCAGCAACAAAGGCTTACCCCCGTCATCACCCAGTCAATGAAAGCAGTAGAACCTCCGTGAACAAAGTCTACTATGGTGCCATGAGCATAGTGCATGGCACGATCCCAATCAGTCTTGAAAAAGGACTCCGTGAAAGGATCGCCATTAGCTGATAGAAGAACATGCTGGTTGGAAGTTGAGGAAGGAACTTACTCGCTTCCGTGCTGATGAGCATATAACGATCAAGATATTTGTCTTTATAGTCCTCCAAGGCCGGGTACTGATCCATGGTATACCAGTGTACTGCAGCTCCCGCTACATAACTAAGAGGAATATTCCATACCACTCCTTGGCCTCATCGTGGCTCACCCAGCAGCAACTTTATCACCAAGGATCAGCTTGGAGACCTCTGGGAGGAAGTTTTTATTGTCATCATTAAAAAAGAGTTTAGTGCTCGTATTCGCAGCCTTCATGGCGGGTCCGAGGTAATCTCGAATGAAGGCTAGCTGAGCCTCGGGCGTGTAGAAACAACTTGCCCACAACGTAATAGGGTTCCTGTGGACGAATCCAACTGAAGTAACAATCATCACAACTCACGATGGTTCGTTCTGCTGCGTAATCGCCCATATCGGCACTCCAAGCCTCTCATAAGCGGCAACCTGTACAAGGCAGAGGTACACAGTCGAGTGAATGACCATCGGATACCCATGTGACGAGATAATCAGCCCACACCTTGTGGTATCGAGGATCATTCTTAAGGCATGGCTTGGGACTGCCGTTCATACTG